AATACAAAAGATCAAAACAACAAAAGTTGGGTTTTTAAAAAAAGATAAATAAAACCAACAAACCTTTAGTTATAGTAAGAAAAAAATAAAAGGCCCAAATACAAAAAAATCAGAAACAAAAAAGTAATCATTACAACTGATACCACAGAAATACAAATAGAGACTATCATGAACAACTACATACCAACAAATTGAAAAATCTAGAGGAAACAAATAAATTTCTGGACATATAAAACTTACCAAGAATGAATCAAGAAGAAAAGCTCACCAGACCAGTAAGAAGTAAGGAAACTGTATCAGTCATAAAAAGTCTCCCAACAAAGAAAAGCCCATGACGTGATGGCTTCACAGCTTAATTCTACCGAACTTTTAAAAGAATTAATACCAATCCTTCTCAAGCTATTCCAAAAAAATTTAAGGGAAGGTTCTTCTTCCAAACTCATTCAGTGAGGCCAGCACTACCATGATACCAAAACCAAAGATACAACAAAAAAGAAAGCTAAGGCTAATATCCCTAATGGACACAGATGCAAAAATCCTCAACAAAATACTAGTAAACCATATCCCACAGCATATCCAAAAGATTATATACCATGATCAAGTGGGATTTATCCCAGGGATGCAAGGATGGTTCGACATAGGCAAAATCAATAAACATGATACATCACATCAACAGAATGAATACCAAAACCATATGATCATCTCGGTAGACACAGAAAAAACATTTGATAAAATTCAACATCCCTTCATGAAAAAAAAAAAAAAACTCCCAACAAATTAGGCACAGAAGTAATATAGCCCAACACAATAAGGTCATATTTGACACTCCACAGCTAACATCATACCAAACAGGGAAAAGGTGAAACCTTTTCCAATAAGAACTGGAACAAGACAAAGATGCCCACTTTCATCACTTTTACTGAGCATAGTACTGGAAGTCCTAGCCAGAGCAATTAGGCAAGAGAAAGAAATAAAGGTTATCTAAACTGGAAAGGAAGAAGTCAAACTGTCTATCTGCAGACAGTACAATCTTAGATATAGAAAAATCTAAAGATTCCAACAAAAAAACTCTTAGAACTGATAAATTCAGAAAAGTTGCAGGATACAAAAATCAACATTAAAAAGAGTCAGTAACAGTTCTATACACCAACAATGAACATCTGAAAAAGAAGTCAAGAAAGAATCCCATTTAAAATAGCTATAAAAAAATAATACCTAGGAATAAATTCAACCAAGGAGGTGCAAGATCTCTACAACAAAAACCATAAGAGAAATTGAAGAGGATACAAAAACATGGAAATACATCCTATCTTCATGGACTGGATAAATTAATATTGTTTAAAATTATCATATTATCCAAAGCAATCTCAATGCAATCCCTATCAAAATACTGATAACATTTTTCACAGAAATAGAAAAAACAATCCTAAATTTTATATGGAATCACAAAAGACCCCAAGCAGCCAAAGCAATCCGGAGCAAAAAGAACAAAGCAGGAAGCATCACACCATCTGATTTCAAAATTTACTACAAAGCTATAGTCACCAAAACAGCATGGTACTAGCATAAAAATAGACCAAAACCAGAGGAACAAAATTTTAAAACCCAGAAATAAATCCACATAGTTATAGCCAATTTATTTTCAACAAAGGCACCAAGCACATTCATTAGGGACAATGTTGGGGAATTTCCATGCCAGTTCTGCTTAAAACCACAAAGCAGCTAAAGTAGACGCTGACACCTGTCAGCCTTGCAAGCTAAAACCACAAAACAATTAAGCAGAGTTACAAGCCTGTCATAACTGTACCCCTTGCTGTAAACCTATCAGAACTATACTGTTTGTTATAAGCCTATCATAACTGTACTGCATGTAAAAACTGCTATTAATTGGCTAACTTTTAATCCTTTTACCAATTGGTTAACTTTTATACTTGTGTGTGTTATTGGATAAGACTAACCTCCCCCCCCAAAAAAAGAGTATAAAACCTGACAAAAACCCGGAAAAGGTGCTCAGATTTTGGGAGGCTTGACCCAATCTGGGCCGCCAGCAATAAAACTTGCTGAGCCTCCAACTCTCTGCGTGCCGCTCAGTTATTCCCCTGGGACTGGTCACTGTAAGACTTGCCGTAACAACACCACATCAATAAATGATGCTGGGAAAACCTGACATCCATATGCAAAGAATGAAATTAGACACCTATCTCTCACAAAAATCAACTCAAAATGAATCAAAGACCTAAATGTAAGACCTGAGACAAGGAAACTGCCAGAAGAAAAAAGGAGGAATGCTTCGGGACATTGGTCTGGGCAAAGATTTCACGGATAAGACCGCAAAAGCACAGGCAACAAAAGCAAAAACGGACAAATAGATTGTATCAAAATATTAAATAAAAAGCTTCACAGCAAAGGAGACAATCGACAGAGAGAAGAGACAACCTACAGGATGGGAGGAAATATTTGCAAACTGTGCATCTGACAAGGGATTAATATCCAAAACACACAAGGAACTCAACTCATCAGCAAAAAAACCCAAATAATCCAATTTTACAAATGGGCAAACAATTTGAATAGATATTTCTGAAAAGATGACATACCACTGGCCATCAAGTATATGAAAACATGCTAATCATCAGGGAAATGCAAATCAAAACCATACTGACATACCATCTCGCACGCACCCGAACGGCTATTAGCAGAAGACAGTAAAGGCTGGTGAGGGTGCTGAGGAAGCGAACTCTTACACACTGGTGTAGGGAATGTGAATTAGCAGAGCCACACGGAAAACAGCACAGAGCAGCCTCAAAAAACTATAATCAGACCTGCCATACAGCTCAGCAATCCTACTCCTGCAACTCTATCCAAAGGAAAGGAAACCAGTATGATGAAGAGATATCTACACTCTCATGTTTACTGCAGTATTATTCACAATAGCCAACATGCGCAATCGATCTAAGAGACATCGAGGATAAACGGATAAAGAATATGTATGTGGTACATATACTATTCGGCCATTAAAAAAAAAAGGAAATCCCGTCATTCTCAGCAACAGGGATGATCCTGGAGGACACTATGTTAAGTGAAATAAGTCAGGCACGTAAAGATAAATCCCACACGTAGGAGCTAACATGGTTGATCTCATGGAAGTAGAGAGTTAGAATAGTGGTTACCAGAGGCTGGGGAGGGGAAGGGAGAGAAAGAATAGCAAAAGGTTGGTTAATGGATACAAAATTACAGCTACATAAGAGGAATAATTTCTAGTGTTTTTTTTTTTTTAAGAGACAGGATCTTGCTATATTGTCCAGGCTAGCATTGAACTCTGGGGGTCAAGCAATCCTGCCTCAGCATCCTAAGTAGTTGGGACTACAGTGTGCGCCACTACGCCCAGTGTTCCATAGCACTATAGGGTGACTATGGTTGACAACAGTTTATTATATATTTTCAAATAGCTAGAAGAGAAGATTTTAAATATTCCCAACACAACGAAATGATAAATGTTTGAGGTGATGGACTTGGTAATTACCCTGATTTGATCATTATACATTGTACACATGTACCAAAATATCACACCATACTCTATAAATATGTGCAATTATTATGTATCGATTAAAAATAATAATTTTTTAAAAAGAGGCCTTACAATCGCAGGTGATGAACGCAGGTTTGATCAAATACAAAAGTACATTCCCTATAAGAAACAATGCATTCCCACATACCCTGCTGTGATGAATGTGCCCCAAATCATTAAGATAATACTCTTCAATTGAATGGGGCTTGCCTTCCACTTCAAAAATATACGCAGGATTCATTTTGTTCTGAACAGGAACGGCAAAGTAGTCTGCAAACTCTTTACAGTTGATAGTGGCCGACATCAGGACAACCTATAGAGTAAGAGGAACCATTAAAATAAAATAATGAGAATAATAATAACTGAAAAGAAATACTTTTAAAATTCCAGGCTTTTCTTCTGCTTCATTCTTGCATCTAACAACTTTTGAGATTTTTAAATAGACTACCTTGATTTAAACCCTAGTGTAATACAAATTATTGCAGTTTAAAGAATGTTCAGAGATACCAACTTATTATTTCCTCTTCAATTATTTTATCAAATGAGAAATTACTTAACTCCATTAAGGCTAAATTGTAACCATTTATCCAAAAGAAAACTTGCCATCAGAAAACTTTTAAAAAGAGTAAGATACTAGACAATGTGTTCTAGAAAAATGAGTAAACAGCAAAGAGGAAGGCAAGGGATCCAGAAAACCCTGGCTCCAACCCTGGAAACTAGAGCAGTCTCTCTGGGCCGAGAGAAAACAGGCCCGGACCAGAGCGAGACGACTGACAGCAGCTTTCAGTTTTGTCAAGAAGCGAACATGGGATGGTCTCCTCAAGAAACGCAGCCATGAGCAGCAGGAGCGGCATGTGCAGCAAACCAGTAGTGCCCGGAGAAGGGGGCAGCGCCACCGAGGCCCCACGCCATGTCTCCACAGCACTAAGCAGGGGTGAGCACAGCTCTCTGGCTTGCACAGACTACCAACTGCCTGCGACAATTTGAGTTCTGCAAGCGTAAATCCTAGCCAGAAAGTGAAAACCTTATACAGGCTCTGTCAGTGCAGTTATTGGGTAAACAAAACATCTGCATTTTCCCCTTTGGTGTTAAATACAAATGGTAAAAACAGTATTGACCAGAACTCACTTTGAGAAGTGATGTCTGAGTTTGGAAAGAATGCTCTGAGAAGCCACCTGGGATGGAAGAGTGGACACGCCCCAGTCACAGCAGATGATCTCTAAACCATCCTCTAAGGAAGGCGAGGCTAGTGAAGGCTGGCTTCTGTGGCTAGCTTTTGTGGAGCGGAGTACAGCGAGCAAACTAGAGGCCACACCCGGACTGCTCGGGGCAAGGAAGCAGCAGCACAGCCCCCAGCCTCTCCTCACCTGCCCTCTCAGCAGCCCTCGTCTCTCCAGACGAGACAGCAGCCTGCCCAAGACACCCGCTTGTCTGGGGTGGGCTTGGCTCAGTCTGGTCAGCTAGAGGTGACGGCAGGGTCAGTGGCTGGAGGCTGGCACAGAAAGGGGACCAAGGGAAAGCCACGTCAGGGGAAGCATAGGGACCTCTGAGGTTTGGGCAGGGAGCAGAAGAGAGACCTTAAAGCCCCGTCATCTTTGCTTTTGCATCTAAGTCCTCCAACAGCAGCACTCTTAAAAAGGTAATGAAAAAGGATTTTTTGAAAACCTTTTACAAAACTATCTAGAGCATGATTTCTAATTTCTTGGCCCAACTATATGTACCATACAAGGTGCTATAGTTAGAAAATATGCTGTTTCACAAATTTTCTAAATAAATCACGAACATATTGACTTCTTACTACTTATTACTTGTAAGTACCAAATTCCTTACAACATTTTCAGCAGTCTGGTAGAACTGTTTGTTTTTTTTAATCCACTAACATTCTTAACTCTCTCTACAAAACTAAAAAACACGTCAAGTCGTTGTCTTGACTTGAGTAACAAAGAAAAGTCTTAAAATGAAATTAAGAAAGGTCTCGATTTGTTAAACAATCTTCAATGCCATCTTTAAGAGTCCAAAAAAGGACTGAAACGGCCAAATTCTCTCACTGATTTCACAGTCATCTCAAGCAATAAGAAGATCTACTGCGAATGTCAGGTTCCTTCAGTTAGCACCCACCAGGTGAAATGTGAGTGTCTCAGGTAGAAGTCCCCCCTTGCGGGCGTGCAGGGAGAAATGTTTTCCTAAATAAACAAACGCTTGACAAACACCTTAAGATTCAGAAAGCAACTGTTTTCCAGTAGCAGCAAGTCCTTTAACAGTCCCATTATATGTGTATCTTGATCACCGCCACCTTTTACAAAGTTTTTTTTCCAAAAACCTCTCCTTAGCATAGCTGGGTTGAGGTTGACCTAGTTTAGACGTGCGTAGATTGCATAATTATTCTAAACCCTTCGCTATTTTGGGCTAGTCCATGCCCTTCTCCTTTTTGTTCAAATAAGATGTAAATATTTACTGTTCCCATCAACCTTCGGTTAACTCAACTTACGTCTCTAAACTAGGAGTACATATTCTGTTCTCAAATTTCAATGTGCTTTGGTGATATTTCTAAAACAGGATTGCAGATTCATTTGCACACCTCTAAACTGCGGCACTTATTCAACCAAAAGCAGAGTTTCAATACCCAGCATTCATTATAGCCTATTATTAGATCATTTCTGCAGCCTGGAGAAAATGTTAGTATTTAAGGCAACATAGTAGCCAAAATGTTCCCATGTTCTGATCATAAAAGCAATCCCTTTAGCCCGCTTCCTAGCAAGATCAGGTGTACCATACATGATCATGACTTGTAAGAGTCACTGGTTTCAGATGTTTCTGTTAACATAGAGTGGGCCCTCAATATCCACAGGTTACACATCTGCGGATTCAACCAACAGCAAATCAAAAATATTCGGGAAAAAATTAAAAATACAGATTTTTAAAATATGGTGTAACTATTTACATTCTGTTAAGTATTACAAGTAATCCAGAGGAGATTCGAAGGAGGGGGGAGGATGTGTGGGCTATAGGCAAATACTGTGCTATTAACACATCGTCTTCTACCAGGGACTTGAGCATGCTCAGATTTTTGGTGTCCTCTGGGGGTCCTGAAATCCCCCACAGATATTGAGGTACGACTATAAAGAAAAACAAAACTAAACAATAAATCTTAACCCTAAACATTTCTGTTACTCATGAAATCAAATTTACCTTCACAAAACGAGAATTTGTTCTTAAAAGTTTGCGGACGACCAACAGCAGGAAATCCATTTCTTCAGTTCGCTCGTGTACCTACAAAATAGAAAGGGCGCGCCCCCACATGGCATCAAGCAAGGCACATATCTCTGCTGAAAGACAGAGGGAAAGGGGGCTTTGATGGCATCTGGGAGAGTGGGAACTCAGCCAGCTCTCTCTACTGAACACAGCACTTCAGGGCACGAGTCACTCCCGGTAAGAGGAGCAAAGAGCATCAGACTATATCACGCGAGTCACTGTCCCCCTCAGTGTTTCTCTTTAAGGCCCACCTGGCATTTGGGCAGAGTAACGTTCAGTATGTTCAGAATCCTTGGCCCTGCCCACCTAATACCAATTGTGCCCCAGGTCACTGTGACAGTCACATACCTCCTCACCCACTCCCAAGCACAGAGAACCACCGGACCAGCCTCCCTAACGGCCTCTGCAGTGGTCTAAAAGGTACGCTGCTATTTGAGCAAGTAAGTGCAGGGTTGAAGACCTGCCAGTCTAGCGCTGACCGGGGAGCCACACGTCCTGCCTGACAGGACATGTTCCACAACGAGCAGAACTGCAGTTCACAAGGGCTGGGCCTGGAAACGCTGGGTCAGTCAGAAGCAGGAAAACCAGAGCGAGGTTAGGACCTGAGCTGCCTACGCTGACACAGGAGAGCACTCGGGGAAGCAGCAGCCTCACTCGCCCTTCCCAGACCTTGCAGTGGCAGCCACGCCACCCTCGCACCCCACCCCATCACCAGCTAGCGCCTGAGGGGCTGCTTTTCCAAAAGAACCCAGTTACTCTGTAACTTAGGATACCTCAACACACAAGGGGACTGTAAGATTCTATTCCGGGACATTCCTGTGCCAAAACAGATAGATACTAAGTTTGAAAGCAGGAGTTCTCTTCCCGATATAAAAGGCCTGATGATTTATTCTACACCCAATTCTATCCCAGGTCCTGCTATCTTCCTGAATTCCCACTGAAGTAGATGCATGGGGAAGTAGCATAAAGGGAAAAAATCAGCTGAAAGGTACTTAACACTATTATAAATCTAATTCTTATCTCACGCTCTCGCCAAACTCCAGAACATTTCCCTCAACGCAAACATCCTGTCTCTTACCTGAGGAAAAAAATATCAAAGCTACCATCAGCGAAGAGCCCCCAGAGTGACCCTGCCTCGGCTTTTAGATCCCCACCCCCTGCACTCACGGTGGAACCTCTCCTCTGCGTTCAGACCGCCACCTTCTCCTGCGTCTCCCCGCCAGCCCTCCGCCCTGAGGACGCTCCACCTCCAGGATGCCCACAGCCCTTTCTCCGCCACTGGCCTTTCTCCACAGCACAGAAAGACACACACTCCAGCTGCACCGTGTTTCCAGTGGAGTGTGGCTGAGGCAGAAATTACAACTTACTTGCCTTATAATTACCTCAGCACCTGGGGCACCTTTTCCACAGCAGCTCTCAAAAATTGTTCACTGAATGAATGATCTGCCCAAAGCTAGTTTACTCTTTTTCAAGATCTGAGAAGCTAAAAATACTATTCCATTTTAAACTGCCTGGCCATCTTCAACTTTTGTTCTTACATTTCTTTTGAAATTCAAATCGTCCCAGAGAACGTGAATTCTGTTTGTAAACCTAAAACTTCAGGTATATCCTATCCATTCATTCATTAAAGCAAATTATTAGAGCTCCTACTAGGTGCTGGTGGTGCAGTGGGAGAGCAGGAAGCTGGTTATGACAGGGACGTGACAGCTCTCTGTGACCAGCACCCCCTGCAGGGCAAGCTCTCGTAGACAGCGGCAGACTTTTGCTCCGCTATCACAGCGCGGCTTCAGGAAAGAAGGCAGTCAGCAACACAGCGTGGGTGGGATTATCCGTGTCACTCGCGTGTGTATGTACAGAAGGCTATTAGACACTCAGAAAGATGCTAGATACGCAGAAAACAAATGCGTGAGTTACTACTATAGTCTCTAGAGTAAACTACCCAGGGATGAACCCAGCAACACCATTTGTTACCTGTGGCCTGAGCACCAAACTCTAAGCTTTGGTTTCCTTTCATGTAAAACAGGCTCGATTATAGTAAAAGGCTCAATAAATAACTATTGTGAACTTCATAATGGTACCTTTTGGCATACTGCCTATTATATTTGAATTTCATCTCTACCTAATCTAAAGATAATCAAAACTGCCAAAATTCACAAAGAAAAATTCCGAACTATATCGTACATCATACTATTTTGAAAGGAACGGACAGATTATCTTCTACCTTCTCCTACTGTCCCAAACACCCTGCAGTAATTTAAAACCAAGTAAATACACACAAGATCATAAATGCACAAACTCTGCTTTACCTGTATATTTTGGTATTACTAATGATCACACACATCAAAATAGAGTGGAGAGACCTCACCCTAAACAGTTGCTCAAATGGTTTGACTTCAAACTCCATTAAGCACCCTAGCCCCATCTCACAACCTCCCATAAATCCTATTTATTTGTTGATGTTTCTAAATTCTCTAGAAATAAGTCAAGCTTCTCAGGAGAGAATTACTGATAAGATTTAAAACACAAGAGAGCTTGGGGAGCAGCCATTTCCAAAGCTCCTGGGAAAGTTGTTTGAACACAACATCCTCCCACCTCAAAAAATTCTTCTTTAAAACATAAACAAAATCAGCCCAGGTGCAATGCTTCACGCCTATCACCTCAGCACTTTGGGAGGACAAGGTGGGAGGACCGCTTAAGGCGAGGAGTTCAAGGTCAGCCTGAACAACACAGCAAGAGCTCCCTCCACAAAAAATTTCTTAAAAATTAGTCAGCATGGTGGCATGTGCCCGTAGTCCCAGCTACTCAAGAGGCTGAGGCAGGAGGATCACTTTAGCCCAGGAGTTTGAGGCTGCAATGAGCTATGATCACACCATTGCACTTCAGCCTGGGTGACGGAACAAGACCCTGTCTCTAAAAAATACATATATAAGTGCATGTAAAATCAATTAAATATTCCATCCTTACTGAGAAAAGTCCAGAAAGTGTAGAGGAAGGAAAGAATAAAGAAAGCTAAGACAAGGCCGGGTGCGGTGGCTCACACCTGTAATCCTAGCTTTCCGGGAGGCCGAGGCGGGTGGATCGTTTGAGCTCAGGAGTTCGAGACCAGCCTGAGCAAGAGCGAGACCCCGTCTCTACCAAAAAAATAGAAAGAAATTAGACAGCTAAAAATATATAGAAAAAATTAGCCGGGCATGGTGGCGCATGCCTGTAGTCCCAGCTACTCGGGAGGCTGAGGCAGGAGGATCGCTTGAGCCCAGGAGTTTGAGGTTGCTGTGAGCTAGGCTGACGCCACGGCACTCACTCTAGCCCGGGCAATAAAGCGAGATTCTGTCTCAAAAAAAAAAAAAAAAAAAAGCTGAGACAGACACAAAGACAGGGTTCACAATACTTTATTAGTTTTTTCTTAGAAAGGTAAATAGATCAGTATCTTGTATTTATTTTATTGATTTTTAAAAGCTATTATTGTCCTTAGTTTACTAGATGGAAAGTATCTATGGTGTGGCTGAAACTATCTACATACAATTAAAATCCCTTTAACTGTCTGACTATGGCTAACTCTCTAAACCAGAGTTTGGCAGACTTTTCCCATAAAAGGCCAGACAGTAAATATTTCCAGCTTGTGGGATATACAGTCTCTGTTACAACTACTCAACTCTGCTGCTATAGTGCAGAAGCAACCATAAACAATACATAAACAAATGAGTAAAACTGTGTTCCAATAAAACTTTATCTACAAAAACAGGTGCCAAATTTGACCTGAGGGCTGGAGGCTGCCCATCCCTGCTCCAAACAAGGAATCTTTTCATAGTTCTCAACATTGCCACTCATATTTTGCAACCAAGTACAAAGAATAAAAACAGAAAATTAACATTCATAAGTAGATTAAGCAGATATAAACCCAAAGCTCTTTATGACCCTTTACAAGTAGGCAACACTTACATTACCTTACACTGTGTTCTCTTGTAAAATAAGGACATGCACATCAGAGCAGAGCTACATGAAATATGCACTTACTTCATCGATGAAGATGTGCGTGAATTCCATCAAACTCTTGGCACTAACTATTTTCTGAAGCAGGACTCCAGTTGTCATATAAATTAACTTGGTGTCCTCCGTTGCTATTTTCTCTAGCCCTACCTACAATTGGGGAAAGAAAAGAGAAAGGAGAAAGAGTTAAGGTTTAAATGACTCCCATTTCACTACCAAAAAAGGATATGTCCATTTTATAAGGGAGATAAGAAAGAGAATAAAAAATTATTGTATTTCACAAGATACACAGAGTCCCAATTGAAAGCGAAGTTCTCAAGTTGATTTTTGTCTTCTTTTTGTGGGGGAAGGGGGTGGTTTATTTAATCACACTGCCTAGAATATTTTTACAATAAGACAATTGCGGGCAGGGTGTAGTGGCACTTTGGGAGGCCAAGGTGGGAGGCAACATAGTGAGACCCCATCCCTACTAAAAATAAAAAAATTAGTCAAGCATGGTGGTGCATGCCTGTAGTCCTAGCTACTTGGGAGGCTGAGGCAAGAGAT